GCTCGCCATGATTCCAATAATTGTGATATGTAAATAGTTCCATGAATCCACTGTACAAACAGATTATATTTTACCGGTATCCCTTCATCATAAATGTACAACATAATATGACAAAGCAAAGTAACAAAACATGTTTTGAAGCAGGTAAAATTGTATTTTCAGCTGTCCCTTTCTAATAATCTTTATCTGATTATTATTGTACCTGTATGTTTGCCTAAAACACTTTTCCAAGGTCTTTGATACCTCGATGATAAACCCATGATGGTCGCTATCAGTTGTTGAAAATGGCATCAAAGTATGGTTGTCATTCATCTGGATTTGGGGGACAGACATATTGTAGACTGTCAAATTTGTTTCTCTAGGAATATTTTGTAATTCAAGAGTGTTTTGAAGGACAAAATGTCACGAAATCCTTTGAATCAAATCAGATTACTCTCTGATGTAGGTAAGAGCAGTTGTCGCTTTTAATTCCATTTGCCATTGTACATGTAAGTTGCATCTTACTACATCGTACATTTCTTGTACAGATTATGCACGGACAGCAACCAATCCAAACTTTTGTTACATGATGTTAGTTCTACTAAAAAGAACTCCTATTCGTTGGTAAATCTTGCCAGATGGAGCTGCTTTGAACATGACTTGCATAGGTGGTTTAAAGACAGGCCACACACTGGTGGCTGGAGTTTAAATGTGACTGTGGCCTTTTCCTACATCGGACTTGTAAAATTTGTTGAAAAAATCATCTTCTTTGAAATTTACAGTATTCTCAGCATGTAGTATTCAAATTAACCAATGAATGGACAGGATGTTACTTTGCTTTGTTTCAGTGAATCCTGCACTGTGACATTTGTATGGCTAGTTTGATAAACTGATCATTGATTCTATATGATTATATAGTTTATCTGGCAAACATAGAAAAACATACCAGATAACATGCTGTGTGTTCTCCTAACTATCCAGATAGATTTAGTGGAAAAACGATTGAAGGCTTGAAGTAGTCTTATCATGTGTTGTTGACATAATTTTGTACATTGTACGGTATACAGTATTTACAGTGTAAAGTTTTCTTGTGGGGAAGGGATTGGGGTTCTGTAAAACAGTATCTTTTATTTCAGCCTTAGTCCAATGCAATAAAATAAGTTGAAGTCACTTCATGTGGTGTTATGTTTTATTATGTGATGCAGTAAATTACAGAGATGGCGCAGTCTTGAAACTGGGAAGTCTAGGAATTCTAGTATATAAACAGATTAGGAACCACATATGGTTAAAAAAAAAAATGTCTTATTCATGCTTGCCTGTATATTGGACTGTTCTCCTTGCGATGGCCCTTGTCGCTTTGTTTGTCCATGGGACTGTTGATAGAGAATTTTCCACCAATCATCTTTGTGCGTACTATCCTTAAAAAAAAAGTCTGACCAATTAAAGTAGATTGTCTGACTGAGAACTCTCTAAACATGGTTGTAACTACCCTTTCCTAATGATCAATGGGCTGGGGAAACTACACTCACTGTTGTTGAGCATGCTACAGTAATTGCCATTGTCTTTGGTGAAAGTCACATATCTGAAAATGGTTACTATAATATATAATAGAATCAATTGGACCGTTTTCCAGAATTATTGTTCCACGAGCTGAAAGGGGAATAACTTGAAGCATCCCAAAGTGTTTTAGAAAGTTAGAAAACGAGAACAAGCTAAAATTGGTAGCCAACCACATCATCTGGAAAACTTTTTCGAGGAAGGGATAGGATACATGGAAGAAGATTTTCATCTTGAGAAGACAATCCTGTATCAATTGTGTTATTGTGCTGAGTTTCTGAATATATTGTATGTTTTAGTTTTAAAGGTTGTATCGCATTTTGTTTGTTTGCGCTTGTTGTACTCGTCTTGTATTTAGTCTTCATGTTCAATGTAACCATTTTAATTCACCAAGCATGTCAATTAA